GAGCGTGCGTCGCATAAACATTCGGCAAAAAGCGCAAAAAGGTTCGAGGGCGCAGGATAATCGGGTGTTCCCCCGTAGCGCGCGATGCTCCATCGATGGATCGGGATGGATCCTTCCCGATCCATCGGTGGAGTGTATCGTCGGTTTCGTTGAGCCAGAGGGAGAGTTGCACCGGGTGTCCGTCCGAGGCTGTGCATGCGTAGAGTGGAATGGACTCGGCGGAATGGGACGAGGACGGAGGCCGCATTAATAAAACATTAAGGTTTTGTAGACGATGTATCGATGTAGTGTTTATATTATCTTCTTTGATGTCGACATGTGAATTGGACAGATTTGTTATTCAGACTCCGTACATAAAAGTGGTGAAGTCTTGCTCCGCTCCGTTTGTGGATAGGGGACGCGGCCACGGACGGACAAACGGAGGAGGAACAAACGCGACGCGGACGGACGAACGGACAGACGGACGCGGGACTCTGCCTCTCTTCTTGGTCCCTGCGTCGCCTGTCACTCAACCGATTGACCGCTGATGGAAGGAGAAAGGACCGCGGGGCCGAGGGCCGCCTTTCTGACTCGCCGCGGAAAAACTCACGCCGCCGATCGAGTTATCGAACTTTTCCAAACGCGGATCATCTTGCCGGCGTCTTAGCGGGAGCCTGTTAATGGCTCTCTAGCCACGTCGTACCGCTTTCGAGAATCGCCGTGGTTTTTCACGATCGACGGCTGTATCGTTCGTGCGAGAATTCTTCGGTTTTTCTGTCTCAGTTTATGGCTCAGTGTATGTTTGTATGACAAGCTGTTATGTACTTAGTCGATTGTTTAACGAGAATATGACAGGTATCTTTATTGTTAACGCGTTCGCTACCACTTGTAGTAAAATGTTTGGTTATTTTTGTACAACAAATTTAACTTACTTTAATATTTTGCATAAATTTAATATACTTTTATCATGAACAATAATTGGAGTATATGTAATAGAGCAGCGTTTGTTTCGTGATACACATCATTCAAATCGGAATATACATTGCAGTCAATTCAACTAAGGTCTACGTTAATCGTCAGACATGTGAAATATTGGTAGCGAATATGTTGGAAGAAGATACTTCAATGAATATACCATTTTTATCAAAACTAGAAGAGTTTTCGATCATATGAAGAATGTCTATTCTTTGGTATAAACTTAGTAACGTGGAATCAGGGTTCTAATGGTATAGTAACTCAAGTTGGAAGGGCTAACGAATGGTGTACGTTGATTCGTCTAAAACAAACACCGGGCATTCCCCGTGGTTGCACGCGCGACGAGCACGTCTCCGCTTTATTCTCGAGGAACGCGCGGTATCGATACTCGTCCCTCTCGAGTGCTCTCCCGTCGTGTCCCCTACTCTGAACTCGGCACCGTGATCCCGAACCTTGACTCTTCATTAATCACTGCGCGGTATCAATGACTGACTGAGTGACTGACGCCAGCCGAGAGGTATTATATACCTACGGCGTTCCGCGCGAAATGCTTCACGCTTTCTGCTATGAGTTTTCCCGGAGACGGGGTTCGCCAACCATCAAGAAAATTCCGCCTGCAAATCTTGGGAATTTTCTACCATGTAAACAATTTACGTTCAAGAAGGGAATTTTTTGATTTTTTTTTTTTTTTTTTTTGACGTGTCACTGATAAATTATCAGCGAACAATTTTCACAAACACGTTATAATTTTGTATCTTCACAATATTTTCTAAACACTAATTGTTGTAAACTCGGAATTACTTCTTGGAATCTATAAAGATATTTTATATATGTGGTATTTAGTACGCCCTGTTCGCGAGTTTTAATTTAGGTGATAGGCATAGACTTATACTATTACTCAAAGATACTTACTTATTGTCGATACGGTATATTGTAGTTAAAAAATTATGAATATTTCGTTCTGCTGTAAATCATGGCTATTGAATTAATTTTCAAAAATTAGTGATTGTGAAACTTTACAGAATTATTTTTTCACTGATAAACATTTTATTTTTGGATTCCTCATTGTATTTTCATGAAATTCATGTACTATCGATCGACTAAAGTTGCTCGCGAATATCCGTGAGGCTACAATTTTATGCAAACTTTTATACAAATTCGTTAAACGAAGTTTAAATGGCGATAATCATTCGGAATCGATCCAAAGACTTTTAAGACTTGAGATTGAACTGTCAAAATAAAAGATTTCGTAGAAATGAGAACTCGGCTTTCGAGAACAAAGATTCAGGTTAACGACTATCAGATTCATGGTTGCCCGCGTAAGACTGGCCACGGATCCAGCAGAACAGGAAGAATCGATAATTCGACGGCGCCATGCTCGTTTCAGCCTTCGTTCCGTGCGGTCTATCGTTACAATCTGGACAACGAAAGTCACGATCGTCGAGTAGAGGCGAAACGTCCAACGTAAGAAAGCGAGTCCACCGATGGACCGATCGAAACTTGCGCCGTCATCGTCGGTAGCACGGTGAAATCGTAGGACAAACAGAAAGAGAGGAATCGTTCGGAGCATGGATCGTGACTTGCGTCCAGTCCTCTTGTCTCCTGTTGTCTCCTTGTTACCCGACTCCTGTCTGTTTCGGTAGTTTTCGAGGGTGTGAGGCTGCTTTATCACGCGCGACCTCCCGCTGTTGTCACGCGATCTTATCGCGCCACTCGGCCCGAGCGAATTCGACCGCTCACGAGCCTTCTCGATCGCCGATCTCTGTTTCTCGTTTCTCAATTCTCTCTTTACGAATTGTACATCAATGTCGTGCTTGTTTGTGGAAATTATTTGTTTGTTGCACTTGTTCCTCTATTGAAATTTGTCGTAATAGTTGAAATCCAACAAACAAAAGGGATCAAACAGATATTTGAAAACAAAGTGACTTCTTGACCACCGATTGGCCATCGATCGGCTATACACAATTATAGTAATCGATACGATCTCCTGTTTAAAAAAAAAAAAAAAGGCAATTATTTCACGTCAGTTGCCGGCTCGTTATCTTTCAATGTTCACCGAGAAACTGTTATTTTCTGATACGTTGAAGTATAATCAGCTGACCTTATTATCTATAATTACGGATAATTCACGAGCGCTCCGCGATGGACGCACGAATCGTGCGTTCGGTACGATCGAAATCAAGAACCAATGGAAGAACCATCAGTGTATGCCGAACGTTATTATGAACGAACAAAAATATCGAACGTGTACACGCGTGCGCGATCGTGCGCGGGCTCGCTGAGATAACCCCTGGGCTGGGCATCGCTCGATCTTTCGACTCGAATGTTATCGCGGCCTGGAATTTCAGCAACGGCTGGTCACATTCTATCGCTCGTAATTGTAAACATAACAATTATCATTTTACGAGCTGGCTGTAATTAACACAATTTTTATGCGTTGCATCGTGTTATTCTGCCGATTAATGATACAAGTATATATACAGTATCGCGTTATCGGGCAACCGAGCCGGCTGCAATCGCATAATGCGCAATAATTATTATTACAAAGAAAGAATAATTATTATTACGAAGAAAGAGTATTTTTTTACCCTTAAACGATCTTTGTGGAGGTCGTGCGAGCGGCCGAAATACGGCTAATATGTAAGTACAATGTTGGTCCTTGGACGACATCGTAGAAACGTGAATTTTAATTGCAAGTGCAAAACATGATGATTAGCGATAATATTCGAGGGTGAGTTTACGTGCATCAGGCTTGCGAGGTAATGAGTTACAATGAGTAACAATCACGTGCTTCTGTACGTCATATCATTTAATAATTACAATTTAAATTATATAATTATGCGACCTTACACGTACGGTGCTCTAGGTTACGTAGATGTATTAAGTAGGTATTTTTAGTTAGACTATTACGTATATTACATGGAATGAAGTAACATTTGAGTTGACGCTACACGAACGTAATACTTGAGCTTAATTTAAAGTGGAGAGAACGCATCCTTTGCACCTGACGAGTAAATAGGCTTCTTCGTATTTCGCATTTTCGCTTCGCCGTTTTTCTTTTCCATTCTCAGGTTTGCACGGATACGGCGGGACGCGTGTTCATCAGACGAACGATGCGGTCGACTCGAAGGAAATAAAATGATGTTCGTCGAGATATCAAAGAGACACGTGTTCACGCGCCTCCCATTCATGACATGAGCTTCTTTCCCCTTAAAGAGCGCGAAAAATCGAACTCTGCATCCATAGGTACGAAACGTGTTGTATACGACACGCGGCGTGAACAACAAAAAAAAAAAAAAAATAATAATAATAATAATAACGAAACAAATAAAATACATTATTAACATTGTACCAAGTCATTAGCAACAGGCTCACTCTCAATAGAATAATAGCAATAATATCATAAATTTCAATAATCGTCGTAATAATATTAATAATGATAATCATTATTATTATTATAATCATCGCTATTCTTTTATTTAAATATTCCTATGTAAAGTACCAGGCGATAACGAAAGATTCTGCAACGCAGGAAATACACTTTAGTTCACTAGTCTCGTTTCAGTTTGTATTTTTCATCTGTACCAGATATCACAAACAATTACGTTCCACGAAGCACATATACATCGTTTTTTGTCCGTTATCGACTGCAAAAGAACTCGAGGAATCGGCTCGTTCGTTAACGCCTTGTACGATAATAACGTCGTTCAGTATCGTGTTGCCGTATATTCAATAGCTATGTACAATTCAACATTATAGCCTACACTTACATCTCTCTTTACGCCTTATTCGCTCTCACCTTACATCTCTCTTTCTCTCTCTCTTCCTCGCACGCGCTCTCTCACTCTCATTCTGTCTAAATATCGATAATTATATACTTTTTTTTAGATCCCTGTATTCTTCCGAATTTGCTTCACATAAAGTTACGCAGTTCACGACATCTTACTAAGCACGGAGCGACTGCTAGCTGCTTATTATTTTATTTTATCTTCCTCCTTTTTTCTTTCCTTTTTTTTTTTTTTTTTTTTTTTTCTTTTTTATTTTTATTTTTTTTTTTTTTTTTAATATTTCTCGCTTTAATTAAAATACCTCGCGACATCGCGAAATACTGAGAAATTTGAAATANGAAATTTTTCTTTCTTTTTTTTTTTTTTTTTTTGCTTCTCGTTTAATTATAGCTTTTCTTTTCTTTTTACGTCTTCGTATCACAAGATAAACCAATTAACGTGAGCGCGCGCACACGCACAAATGGGCACGCATTTCGACTGCGAACACATTACCTAAAATTCATTTATACACCTGCCGTTTCGTTCGATGGAGGTCGAGGGATCCTCCTATTCCACCTTTTACTTCTCCTTCTCTTCCTCGAGAGACGGTTGCCCGTTTTTTCGTCGGTTCGTTCGTTTTGCTATACAGATTCCGCTCGTTTCGCTGGTATTGCACGCGACGCGCAACTAAACGACAGACGAATGCGCGAACGTGAACGTACTTCTCTCGCAAAGCGTCAACAGTTGACTTGGAAATCTTTATTATCTCTATAGACGAAAAGTGGATATACATTCTTCGATTCTTTATACAATTTCGGACAAGACTGTATAATGTAACGAACGTCTGCGACGAAAGTAGTATAAGCTACACGACGCGACGCGAGGATTCCGCGAGTGTGCAGCGAGACTCAGTTTTTCCACATCGCCCCGTATCGAAATTGCATCGCTCCGGGTTAAATCGCGCGCTCCAGTCCAAGTCCAGCGTTATCGTCGTGAAAAGGAACAGTTGATATTTTCACTAGTTCTCGGACGACAATCGTTAGCTGCCATAGGAAAATACGGATCGCGATATTTACAGAGACCTGGTCTTCAACTGGTCGTCGATCCCTTCTCGACGTTCTATTGAAAATCCAAAATCGAAAATGTTGTACAGTCGAGGAGAACTCGGCTGAGTTCGAAGATTTAAAGATATATTAACAAAGATATATTAAAAAAAAAAAAAAAAAAAAAAAAAAAAAAAAAAAAAAGAAACAGGAAAGAGAAGAAAAGAGGAACATAGAGTACCGTACAAACCAAGTTTGTAACTTGACGTATTATTACATGCACAGATGTATACATTTATAATGCGAATCATAGAGGAAAGCCTGTGATACTTTCCCGATCGATTTGGCTTAACGAATTGCGATCGCGCGAGAAAATATGTTGCCCTTAACTGTTGGCTGTTTTTATCTGTATGGTTAATAGCATGCGCTTCGTCGCATCGATTTCGCGAGTTATTTCGTGTCGATCGAACGGACGTTGAAAATTGTCAGCAGCCTCTATCGAAAAACGGCAGAGAATAGGATCGAGTATTAATAGGCACCTTACGTACTACGTAGTAGAGACTTTAACGTGCACATAGAAACTGCGCGGTTCGTCGATGGAGACTGCGTGGTCCGTAGGACGTTTCCATCGACGGAACGCGCCCTCGCAGAGAGATAGGTTTCGAGCGAAAGAAGAGAAAGAGAAGAGAGGAAGTGGAAGAAGAAACAAGAAGTTCAGTATATACATGAGCGCATCCTCTATTTTTCTTTCTTTCTTTCTTTCTTTTTGTTTTTTAGTTTCTTCTTCGTTATTCGGAATATACCGGGAACGGTGTGCGTGGGTGGGATGCAAGAGCTAGAGGCAGGGAACCAGGAGGATTTGAAAAGATTCAGAGATGCGAAACAGTGCGCAGCCAAGACAAGATAATTAATTAATTAGTCGCTCAATTAATTAATTATTTAGACCGCTAATTTCTAAGCCTTAAAAACTACTGATTCGGTTTTATCTCACCCGCTGAGGTGGCTCCTCGTCCGCATTCAGTAACGGTACGTTTGTAATGTGTAGCCGCGGCGAGAGGAGGCCCCTCGGAGCGCGTCCAGTCCATTTAATCGGGCGCACGGCGTGCATTGCAGAAAATTTTTTGGCTTCTCTTCAACTTCGAATAGTTTTATTGTGACGGAGTATCTCGTGGATGGACACAGGCACAGACCGACGAATCGTCGATTCCCAATCATCGATCGTGTCGTGTAAAGTAAAATCGTAAAATAGGATGGAATCGTAACGAAGTTTCACAAAGTTCTTTTGAAGTTCGAACACGTCTACTCGAGCCTTCTCGTGGAAAAAAAAAACTCTAAAACCCTCTCGTTCGTTCGCAATGCGTTCCTTCGTATATAGTATTGGAGTACTAGCAAAAAGACGATGGGAAAAGAATGTCAGAATAAAGGGGGGGGAGGGAGGAGAAGAAGAAGAAGAAAAAGAAAAGGAATAAGAATAATAAGAAGAGGAAAGGAGAGAAGTAGAAATTCCGCTTGACGAGTGACAATCCGTCGAGGCATCGGTCGCCTGTGTCAGACCTCGTCGGGTCTCACCACGTGTGTCCTACTGGAAGTGAAGTGTCCCGGGCCGGCGGCGGGTCACGCGAGACTTGCTACAGTTTTTGGTGACGGCGGCCGGGCCGAGAACAGGAAAAAAGCCTTTTAGAAGTTCTGCTCGCCGTACATCCCGGGGAACCGGACAGCGTGTGCTCCGAGCTCGGCGGGCGAGAACTCGTCCTATGTGGCCAAGTGAGCGAACTGGCCTGGGTGGGGCGCGAACTGGTAAGGGTGGCCATACGGCGACATGTGGTACGGTACAATGTTCATGCTCGCCATTTTGTGCTCCTTTTTCCACTTCATCCGCCGATTCTGGAACCAGATCTTGATCTGACGTTCGGTCAGGCAGAGGGCATGGGCGATCTCGATACGGCGCCGCCTCGTCAGGTAGCGATTGAAGTGAAACTCCTTTTCCAGCTCCAGTGTCTGGTACCTGGTGTACGACGTCCTCTGCCGTTTCACCTCGCCGTTCGCGTTTACCGTGCCTGTCAAACAAACAAATTAATCTGTTATTACGTGGCATTCAGCTGCGATGCCTGATTTTCAAAATTGAACTTTAATTACGTTCAGATATCAATGGATCATAGATTTCCTATGATCGTTGTAATCATTGGTGGAACGGTGATGAATGAGAGAGTCAACTACCACTGTTCCTAGTCAATTTTATTGGAACAGGTTCTAGGAGATTATCGCCTAGTATCGATCATGTTTGCTCCTACTGTTTCTATCAAAATTGACTTATCGAATCGAAGGTGTGCCGTAAAACAAATCGAAGGCGACACGACAACGTGGTGGTTGACGTGACTCGTGAACGATCCGAGGTATCGGGCCGTTACGATCGATTCAGGAGGGAAACCTGATCAAACGCGTACGAGCGCATAACAGCTGGGGCTGAAACGTGTGTAACGCTTCACGAGTTCGTTAATTATTTCAACGAGTCGCGGCTAATGCATCGGCCGTGGCTACCGGATCGCGGACTGGTCACTTGGCAGCTGTTTTACCTATTTGCTCAGCACGCCCGAGCCATAAATAATTTTGCAACGCTGTTATTACGATACTCCGCCTATTACACCTATCCGCTGCGCGTTGCAAAAGCCTCGGTAATGAATAGCTCGAGCAACAAGCATCGGGAGAAACCTGGAGGTCGCCTTTAAATATCAATAACCTGTTACTTCTGTTTTTCCAGCCCCGCAATCACCGGCTCGCGGCTAAACACGTCGATCCTGCCAGTATCGTAGTATAGCATTCAAATTCGAATCTCTCTACTCTCGTTTCGTTAGGAAATCAATATCGTTGTTGCATGCTCGCGTAAAGTTATCGATTCAAGAAGCGTCATCGTAATAAAAGTTATTAAAGTTACTATTCAGGCGTCGCGATTGCTGTCGTAAAACGTTGCATCTCGTCGTTTGATTTCCATCTGACAGTATTAGTGTCACAAACAACCAAGAAAAATTGGAACTGATGGAAGGTGAGAGATGAAAGATAGCGAAATTCATTTACAAGCTGATGCAATTTCTACCTGTATTGTCCTGTATTGATCGAAACAGAGAGAGGGTAGCGATATCGATGGTTTTGGATTAACGCATCGAGCAGGTGCTGGTGGTGAATCGAAGTGGGAACAACACGTTCCCTCCGTGACGGTCATAGATCCATGTCAATGCGGATATTAAAGAGTCGGCTCATTTGCAGCAATAATGAGCAGGCTATTAATAGCGACGCGAGAGGGAGAACTCGACTCACTCGGGGACGGGCAATGCGGCCGTTGCATGGTCACGTGCGCGAAAAACAGGCTTTCTAAGCGGTAGGAAAAGCATGTGAAACGTGGCATTGTGAGAAAATAACTAACGTTGACTAAGAATATCTTGGTTTGACGTACACGGATGAAAGGTCGAACTTCGAACGATCATTTTTATTTTACATTTCGATCAGCTATCAAAACATCGACGCCATTGTCCAAGGAACTCAATCCTTGATCAAAATTCAGCGTCACTTCTGGACATTACGAACCACGTCATAGCACAGCGTGTACGTTCGAATCTTCGTTCATTATTCGCTTCAAAGTACGAAAAATTCAAACCACCACTCTGGATCAGTTATGAGTTTCATTCCGCAGAAAGCTTGCAGAAATGAAATCCTCCCCGCGTGGAAACTCGTTCACGAGGAAATGAACTTTCGGGAGGTCCCGTAGAAAAGTTTCCAGCGACGCACCTCCTGTCCAACGAAGCTTAATGACCGAGCCCTTCGAGCGGCGTGTTATCACTTTCCTCCCGATGTAGCACGTCGTCGAGCTGACTTTTTAATAAATAGTGGCCGGACTGGAGAGGTCCGCATATCGTTTATCCCCGGTGCGCACCTAACCGTTTTGTTACGGGCAAACGGAATTTCTTTTTTCTGGCTAGCTCATTATTATACGACAGTCGAACGCGCGAACTATAAGCCGGCACGCGTACCGACGTCGCCGAATGGGGCACACCGAGGGACACTCGGCGTGCTCTTCGCCGTGGATCCTTTCCGGTGATTAATTGCCAGCCGTGTCCCGCTGACGTCGATACAACTTATGGCCGCTGCACGAAGACAATCCGCTCGACCATCGCGCTCATCGTTAGAAACATGCAACATCCTCTCGTGAGTAGTTTGATACTGTGCGGCGGTAACTCGAGAGTCGTTGGTATTAGCTCGTATTGTGACGCAGTGGTACGAGGGGCGAAATGGAACAGGGGGTTGGTGAGAATTCATTAGGTTGGAAGGCAAAGTGTAAGTGAAAAATTTTTCTCGTATCAGACTACAGTTTTTTTATTATACTTAAAATTTGAAAATAAATTAAAAGTAAATAAATAAATTCAGTATATAAATGATTGTGAGTATTTTAACATTAGTTTGAATTAATGACGAAGGAAAATTTTCAAGTTATAGAGGAGATCGTTTTGTGACCCATTAAAAGTGTTAGTGATTTCTAAATAAATCTTAAATTCAAAAATTTAATTAGAAGATTGAGGTTATTGTAATTTGTAGAAATTATTCTTGCAATGGTGAAATTTTTAAAATAGGAAAAGAAATAACATCTGAGGAATTTAAATAATAGAAACCAGAAATGTCTCGAGACTCGAATCCATCGCTACGTGCATTCAGCATCTATTACAAGTCTGGCGAGTAGCTGTTATTTTTCCTATCGATTTGCAAACGAGCTTGTTATATTACAAAACTTTTTAACGAATATTCCGATTCAAGTTAGAATAAAAGGATTCTCTGCCTAAGAAACAACCTTAAGCTACTAAAATCCCGCGCTTTCTAATCTCTAACTTAACAATGCTGCTAAGCGCTTTTCAATGAACGCGAACTTTCTCTCAATGTCCTTGTACCACCTTACTTTCATCAAACAACGAAAGGAATAACATTAATCCTTTAACCCTCTTGCTTATCTTTTTTTCATTATTTTAGAGCCAATTGTTTCTTTTTCTTTGTTTCTAAGAATCTCTTAAGTTGTCACAAAATAATAAGTATATGCGTCTATGACGAGGTGTCTTTCTTTTTTTTTTTTTTTTTTTTGAAATATTAAAAATTTCGCAAATATCGAAACAATCGCGAGGCTGATATATAAAAATTCGAGGAACATTAAACACGTTAAAGCAAGATTGATCAAACGTAGCATTCATCGAAATTTGGAAAGACGTAATAGCACATGGAGTAAAAAGTGCAAAAAAAGCGTGATCGTCGTGTCAATCGAGGAACACAAAATCGCGGTTCATCGCGCGCGGCGTAAACACGGATCAAACTATTAGCCGGAGAACAAGCTGTGCCTAGGGTCTGTCATCGAGAAGAACACCGGTCGGTTGCTTTTTCTAAATCCTCCGGCACCGATGATTAATGGCTTGTCCGTACGTTTCGTCCACGTCGCATCGGGCCGCAACGCAACGCTTGTGAAAGAATGCCACGACCAAGGATTCGCAACAACAAAGCCCTACTCGCAATACTCTGACGCGGAGAGAGAGAGAGAGAGAGAGAGAGAGAGAGAGAGAGAGAAAGAGAGAAAGAGAGAAAGACCGCCTTTTGAATAATCCGTGAATGCGTTCGCGGATTCGTATTCGGCAACTGGCGGGTTCGTTCAACCATCGAACAAAGAGAACCGGATAATGATCCATTATCAGCCGGTGATAAAGATACGGCGGCGAACTGGCGCGATCCGCCATGACTGGAATACACGCGGCTAAAACTTTCTTTCTTTTCCTGTGCCACACGATGATTAATCGCCGTCCACATCTTGTCAACGTCGATGCACCGGCCTGTGTGACGGAAGAATGCGGGTCCCGGTGAAAGTCAAGCCCCGATTCCGTTTGTTCCGTGACTCTCGACGATCGGCCGTCGTCATTTTTTGGAACACAGGAAAACGGATGTAATATTGTCCGCTGGACAGTGTCCATTTTTTACGCGCTTTTATTCCTCCCTGATTCGCTTCGAACGAGAGAAATTCGCTTGAAACATTCGCTCGAACGAGTTAGTGAACCTTCATGCCTTATTTCGTGTAATAATTAGAATTGTCAGATTAAAATCGTTCTTTGAAAAAATGCGCGGATGATGTAGAAGTTTGTTAGATTCTTGCTAGATAGGGATTGGAATTTTGCATGTGAATTTTAAATTTTCGTTTGCTATTTGCAACCTTACTCCTTTCGTCATACACTATCGATCATCTGTATATTGATTCAGTGTGTGAAATACATAGATCTTCTAATTGTCAATACTGTATGAAACAAACGTGTTGTATGATGTACCTAGATAGATATGTAAGAATTAACACACAGAGAATTGGCAGATATAATATAAAATACAAATTTAGTAAAAATGTAAACCAAACTTTCAGTCGGTTCTGTACATCGCTTATCTTGAAAAGATACCTACTCCACGCGAACGTAAACATGTAAATCATTTTTTTCCACGACGAGTAACACAAAGACTCAGAAAAATGCGATGGAATAAGTTTTTCACGTAAGATCATCTCCGAAGATCGAAAATAACCGAAGGAATTATGTCTGTGACTGGATTACGCGACGATAATTGAATGGGCGTGGACGGAAGATGCGACAAATGATCGAGTTCGAGCGAAAGAATAAATCTTCGCGCTGGCAGTGAAGAAATTGTGATCGTCGTAGATCGGTTCAACGAACGGGGCGAGACTGCGAGCAATTAATGATACGCGTGCCTGTAGTTTTTCTTCTTCCCTGCTTGACGAGGAAGGTATCACGGTAATTAGAGAAAAACTGGCTCGCTCGAATCACCGTGAAACAACATTTTATTAAACGAGTGTTACGAGAGCGTGTTACTATTAACGGAGGCCAGATCGGATCTCGCGGACGCGAATGGATCAGCGAAAAAAATCTCCGCTAACTACTGGCAATCAATCTTTCCTCGCAATTGCTTTCGCTCTGAATAGTGCATTAAGCGTTTTGCTTCTTTGTATTCTTGTTGTATTATTAAGATTCCGTCCCTTTCT